CTCGTTCTTTTTAACCAGCTTCTCGACTTCAATCGGATCCGTAGACCCCATGAAATCAACTCGCTCCATATTTTCGTAGTTTGTCATATCTTCGTTCTCTCGGTCTATTTTCAAAACCATGTTGATGTAATGCATGTGCATAAGGTATCCGTTGTCCAACCCGGCCGCGGGTGGTTCCATATGTACCCGAGAGGTATATGAAACCTCTACGGCATGTCGATCGGCCGCTCCTCTCTCTCAGTGCCTCATGGTTAGAACCATGATCACTTACTTCTTCCATCCTATATATATGAAATTATGTCATGTCATGTGCATTTATATGATATCATGCATGCATGTATGCCCTATGCCCATATGAATCATATCCCCGCTTCCGATACCAAAATTGTAGCGTCCTTAACCTAATTCCTTACAAAAAACGTCGTATAACTTAACCATTTTAGTTCTAGAAAACTCAATTAATCACAAAATATCACTTAGGATCATTAAAACCTCATATTAGAAAGATTAGATTTTTTTTTTATTATTCAACTAATCAACAACATTCCTTCCACTTATAACCCTTGGATATTCAATCAAAACCACTTTTTCTTTGCTCATAAACACGTCTCAAAACACCTCCAGGAGTTCATATTTACATAGTTACATATATAATTCAAAACTCTCCTAGGATGCATATGCTCGGCATAATGAGAGAGAGGAGAGAGAGATCGCCAACCGACTCGTTACTCATATCGTGAAATGAGCAAGCAAAACAAGCTCTAAGCTTCTTAACTTCGTACCTAAAAAGTAATTGCATTTTAATGAGATGCTACTCAATGAGAGAACAATAATTCATTGAAACCATAACATGCAATCACATCATCCAAGTATCATCACATATAAACAATACATGGAGTTCATATAACTCTAAGATTACATGCTTTTCTTTTTCTTGTCTGCTATGACTTGGACATGTCAAGTTCCGCCTCGGTACTTGTAACTTGTAAACTTGTACACATGTATCACTGGCCAGCTTTTATAACTTGTAATTGACCCATTGGGTCCTTGTAAACTTGTAAACTTGTATTTACGAAACTTGGACAAGCCAGCCATAACCTTAACCTCTTAGCTTGTATATATCATGAATGTTTCACATATAGCATATACAACATCCATGGCTTACATCATGGTACATATCCATTATAACATCAATAAACATAACGTTTGCGTCAACTAGCAAACGGCACATCATTCACATCATGATATCAATATCAATACACATAACATCAATAAACACAACGTTTGCATCAACTAGCAAACGACACATCATTCACATCATAGAAATATAATATTAGCACTCAATAAGCAATAACACATCACTAAGCACAACGATTATTATTCAACTCACAAAAATGACGTCTTCGTCGTTTATCAATGCGTCGCGTCTCGCACCTCACTCTCCTCGGCGTCTATAAACACATACACATATACTTTTATAAGTCATTTTATCATTATCAAACTTCTAAATATGCTTAAGGTACAAAATATGACTTTAGGGTTAACTTATTCCTTTATGGGTACTTGACCCCTTTTCACTCTTTCTACCATAAGTCTCAAAATACAGATTCAAATGATGCAATTCTAGTTTCACATGAAACTAGACTCATAGGGCTCTAACATATCCAAAACTCAAGTCTAGGTACGAAATACACAACTCATGATGATTTTCTAAAAATTAGAGTTGCTGCCAGTTGTTTATGGGTACTTGACCTCTTGACAGTTCACACTCTTTGTACTATAAATCCTAAAATACAGGGTAAAATGACAAAATTCCAGTTTTACATGAACCTAGACTCAAAGGGGTCTAACATATCCAAAAATCAGCCTAATATTCCATATACATGATTTATTCTAGATTTTTAAACTCTAACTAGCTTCCAAGCACCCTTGTTACCGAGCAGTCCCCAAACAAACAACAATAAATCTAGATTGGGACATGATCAAGACCTAATTATTTTTTTTAAAAAGAACTAGACATATCAATATAAAACATATCCAAAAATCAGATCTAAATACTCAACACCCAAAGAATACCATATTTTTAAAGTTTACACACTAATCTGCTAGCATCAGATCACCCGAACAACATGTGTTCAAACCATCATAACCCGAAATATAAATCACTAAATACAAAACCCTTTCACAGAGAGCTAGATAAGACACAAAAAAACAATTTTTATTCTTACAACTTGTTCCAGATATGACCCTAAAGTCTCGAAATCAAGAGTGCAAAACAGAGTTGGGGATGAACTTACCTAGATTTCCAGCTTGATCATCCGAATTTGACAAAGAAATGGGGTTTTTCTCTCTTTCTCTCTCTCAAAACGGGAAACCAGATGGGATAAGAAGAGATAATGATCAGGTAAGTAATCTTGATAAGGTTGTGAAGATATTTTGGCAAATTTCGTTTTGGTCCCTTAAGTTTAAGCTTGTTTTTATTCTAGTCCCCAAACTTAGATTATATTCAATTAAGTCCCTCATTCTTCCTATTATTCCAAATACTTACAATTGAGCCCCTATTTCTTCCTATTATTTCAAATACTTATTATCCAATACCCCACTAACATGTCATATGCGAGTATAATTATATGCGTGTAATTTCTAAGTATGCGTGTATGCATGAACGAGTGTATATTTTTGGGATGGGGTTATTACAATAAGAGCAAAAGTATATTTCACCTTTTTGAATAAATAATTTGTATATCTTTTCCCATTTTTGAATAAAACTAAGGGTCATATTCACATACCATGTGCATGCTTTCTCAATTAAGGATTTGAGAATTCCTTCATCTTTAAATCATCATCTAGTGCCATAAACACCTATAGTTTGCACAAAAATTATGAGATTTTTCCAAATTTTATTCAAATAACTTTTTTAAGTATTCTTTAGTAAGATATTAGTGTTGATTACTAGAAACATCAATATAATAAAGCGAGTTGGTGGTCGTAAAAAACCACACTATAGGTGTTTGGTAAGAGGATGTCTTCCGTATCATCCGGTTGAATATATGACATTAGATCATCCTTTATATTAATAATTAATGGCATCAATGTTTGAGAGATATCGATCTAAGAGATTTCATTCGCGGAAAGTAATTGGGTGATGTTCTCGAAGGATTAAGCAAGTACAATATTGTTATCTTAGAGGACTTTAAAAACTTGTTACTCGTTTTTACTATTGTATAAGTTCGAGTATCTCAAAAAGTTTTAAGACTTCAATCATAGCTTGGAGGCTTGAATGTATAACAACCGTAGTAGGGGTTTAAGAAATAGGTTTAGGCATACCGTCTTTCGATAGTGTCGGCAAGCTATCACTACCAACTTCATGAAAGATTGTTGCCATTCTCGGTATTAAGTAAGCTAGCATTGTAAACATTATTATTAAGGTTGGGATGACATCGTTATTATTTCAAATACTTGATTAGTAGCAAGATTAATATTCTTTTTGGTGGTCATAAGAAGAGCCATTGTCCTTTCACAATTACTAACTCTCTAATAGAGTCACAAAATATGTATGTATGTGTGTGTAGAGGAGAAGTTTTTAAGAATCGATTAAATAATTCATCGGTAGATCGATTAGGATATATAGAGCTAGTGTTGTGACTTATGAAGTAACACTCAACCAATCAAGTGGAATGGATACAAATAGTGCGAGGCGTGAGAAGAGGAGTAGACAAGTACAAGTAAGACGCAAGTCAAGTGGTCGACAAGTTGGTTTATCAAAATCTAAATAGATAGTTTTAGATGATATCTTATGTGTATACGTGCATAAGAGTGTGTGACGAGAGAGAGCTTAAATGTTTTTTTTTTTATTAGAGTTTAAAAAGTTGAAATCCTCTCATAATAACGTGAGATTGATATTTATAGTAAATTGAATATGATTCTTGATCGTTAGAATCAAGTCACGTCATCTATATTTAGATGGTTAGATTTAAATTGAAGAAAGTTGTGTTTCTTCGAGATAAAGTGCTTTAACTTGCTAATGAAGGCTAAATGAAATAATAATTGAGTCTTTTTTTTTAATGAAATCTACTCCGAACTCACTAAACCAATCTTTCTAATGCATCCTAAAATCAAGATATGTACATTAATTCTATTAGAATATCCGTGTCTATTCTCGCAACCCAAGATCTTATGTTGAGTGAGATCTATCTTCAATCTAATCTATTTTTTATGTAGTTTGAATCCATGTCAAAAAAAAAAATCATAAATTAATATATAATAAAAAACTAACTAAGTTAATTAATTTTAGATAAAATAGAGAATATACAAATATGATTGGTAAAAGATCCAAATGTAGCTATCCAACTTTAGTCGTCAATTGCCACATATATGCCAAAAAAAAAAAAAAAGGACTGAATACGAAGTATTTTGTCCTAGTGAGATTAAATTATTAATTGCTTAACAATACAAGGGCTAATTTATAATTTATCCTTCTCTCTCTCTTTACAGAACTACAAGGCACTGAGTACAGAGTCTGTATTGATCGAAATCCCAAAAGCACACAAGCAAGTAGCAGTGACAGTGCAAGTCATCAAAACAAAAAAGAAAGCTCTCTCAAACCTCCCTTTAGGGTTCTCTTTTTCCTCCTCAAATCTCTCTCTCATGTTCTCCCATTCTTTCCCATTTCCCAATTCAAATCTCTCTCAAAACCTCATTATAGTCAATCATCATCTTTTTTTTTTTCACCCTTTCGAAAACTTTCAATTCACTCAATTTCAAATATTTCTCATTATTATTACCCAAATCCTAAGACCCATGAACCCAAACAGCAAGTCATTGCTTATTCTACCTTTTTAGCTCTCTTGTAAAAAACCCAAGCTCAAAAATTTGAACTTTTTTAGCTACAAATCACCAAATGAAGGGTATAGCTCTTAATTTTTATTGACCCTTCAAACATTCTTGTTCCTGTTTATTGCAATTAGGTGAGTGAGATCTATAAGGGAGAGAATCTTATAATGCCAAGGCAAAAAGGAAGTGCCACAATGGAGGAATTGCTACCTGGTAAGATAAGGAAAAGAGGGTGTTCTTCTTCAGCATCATCATCCTCATCAATAATTCAAAACTACAGATTCAAGAGAGCAATTTTGGTGGGCAAGAGGGGTGGATCCAGTACACCAGTGCCCACATGGAAGCTGATGGGGAAGAGGACCCCATCATCTACACTGAGGGCCATGGAGTCCTCACCAAAGTCACTAAATGGAAAGGGAAAGCAGCAGCAGGCGCCAGTTTCAGCGAGGAAGCTGGCGGCTACTCTTTGGGAGATGAACGAGATGCCATCGCCAAAAATGAAGGAGGAAATGGTGGAGGAGAGGAGGTTGAGGAAAGAGGGTAGAGGTAGAGAGAGGAGGTCGGTGCATTCAGGTTCTTTGCCTCCTCATTTGTCTGATCCTTCTCATAGTCCTGTTTCTGAGGTGGGTTTTGTTTGATTTTATGTTGTTCTTGTCTAATTTTTTCATGTTTGATAGGATGTTAGTGTAAAGTTTTAATCTTGGTTTCTTATCATGTGTTGGATTTGACTTTTGATGTAGCAGAATGATGTGAAACAAGGGGAAAATGAAAATTGGATAAGTTGAGTTTTTTTTTTTTTAAGTGGATTTTGATTGTTAGGTAAGGGAATTGGGAGAATTTGAAAAAGTTTTAACTTTGGAATATTAAGCCATGTGTTAGTTTGGTTTTTTTAAGGTGAGTGGTGATTATATTAGGTTCGGTATTGTGGGTCTCTCTAATTAATGTAAAGCTTAATGTTTGGTCCGGCTGATTGTACATTTTCTTAACATAACAATGGTTAAACTTCTTTATTTTGAAAAAGTTAATTGTTTACACTGGTTGTGGATGGTCATATGGGTTTTAGAATGCTGATGGTGTTTTGCAGTATATGATTTGTTTTTCCATTCTTGACTTTTTCAAATTGAAATCTTGCATAACTTTTTGAATTGTGGCTTTTATAATTTCAAATGTAATTCAATGCCATCTAAATGTAGAGCAAACGACTGGAATTGCTATTGGAATGTGAAGGTCCTAAAGTTGCTGCCTCTGAATCCAATTTAATTTTGCCTTGTTAGTTTGCTTAACTGTTGTGATGTTGTTTGAAATCATCTTTCTGTAGAGGATTGATCGATCTGGAACTGGCAATCGCCATAGAAGAACGTCATCGATTTCTCAGAGGCTTAGGCTTATGGACCAGAGTATTGGAGCATTTGATTCTGTTAGCAATGCCAGTTTAATGGAGGTATGCCCAATCAATAATGTCCTATAGAGATGCTATAATATGTCCTGGAGAGCAAGAGCTTACACTCCTACTGCTTCTTTTTTGGGTCAGGAATTTGACACCAATAGTTCGAATTGGAATCTTCGTGTTTTTTAAGTTTCCATGTTGAACACGTAGTTTATCCATGCCATTTTTTATGAATATGATAATGAGTTATATATCTTTTACTTTCTAAATTTGATGTGAATTACTAAACAAAACTCGAGGCTATCAATTTATCGTTAATCTTCCCATGCATTGTCCAGTTTTAAAAGCTACTTATATTAAAACACAACGGTAAGGAAATTGCATTTATCATTTCTCTTATGATGCAGATTGAGACTAGATCTCGTGCCCAAACTCCTAGTGGATCTACTGTCGGAGTTAAACCTCGTCTGAAGGATGTTAGTAATGCTTTGACTACATCAAAGGAACTACTTAAGATTATCAACCGTGTATGGGGTAATGAAGATAGGCCTTCATCAAGCATGTCTCTCATCTCTGCCTTACATGCTGAGCTTGAGAGGGCTCGTTTGCAGGTCAATCACCTTATTCAAGAACAGCGCTCAGACCAGAATGAGATAAACTATCTAATGAAGTGCTTTGCGGAAGAAAAGGCAGCATGGAAAAACAAGGAGCAGAAGGTGGTTGAGGCTGCCATTGAGTCCATTGCAGGAGAACTTGACGTAGAGAAGAAGTTAAGAAGACGGTTTGAAAGCTTGAACAAGAAGCTGGGGAAGGAACTGGCTGAGACAAAGGCATCTCTGTTGAAGGCAGTGAAAGAACTTGAGTGTGAGAAGAGAGCAAGAGTTGTAATGGAGCAAGTATGTGATGAACTAGCCAGAGATATTGGTGACGATAAAGCTGAAGTTGAAGAATTGAAGAGGGAATCTGTAAAACTTTGCGAAGAGGTTGAGAAGGAAAGGGAGATGATGCAGTTAGCTGATGTGATGCGCGAGGAGAGAGTCCACATGAAACTTTCAGAAGCTAAATATCAGCTTGAGGAGAAAAATGCAGCTGTTGATAAACTTCGGAGTCAGCTTGAAGCTTTTCTACGAACCAAAAGAACTAAAGAAAAAGGGCGCAGTTCTTCTAGTCATATGAATGATGAAGAGATAGCTGCTTACTTAAGTAAAAATCGTTTTGTTTCCCATCAGAGTGAAGTAAATGAGGACGATGGAGAAGTAGACGATGTAATGTTATGTGAGGAAGGCTCTGCTGAAAGCGATCTTCATTCCATAGAATTGAATATGGATAACAACAACAAAAGCTACAAGTGGGCTTATCCTTCTGGAACTCCCCGTGATTTGAGAAAGGCAGCAATGGATGAAGAAGACATCAAAGGGAGGAAGTCTACCTCCAGCAAATTACCCCGGAGAAGCACTTCTCTGCAAAGAAGCATATCAGATGGAGTGGAATGGGGAACCCAAAATGAGAGAGTACTGTTTCCAGGAGACGGGATAGATTGGGGGAGGTTTTCTGATCTGGAGAGGCAAGGGCAAGGAAGAGGTTATGGAGATGAAATGCATGGACATCAATCAATGAAGGGTCTTAGGGACTACTTATTGTCTGGTTCTAGGTTAGATTCTCCAAGAGGGTATGCTAGTTCTGTGCGACAAGTTGGGCAGCTGCGGTCCTCACGAGACCCTATCAATCTAGCTCAGGAGAGACCTCCTGTGATACCAGGGAATGTTTCCAAGTCAAGGCTGTCAGAGGCCAAAGCCGAAGGTGTGAATTTGAGAAAATCCAAATGGTGAGCGATGCAGAGTAGTTTTTAGGCAAGGCTGGTTAGGTGCCTAATGCAAGAAGAATTAGGCAGTGAGAAGTAATCCCCGACTTGCCATTCTAGAATTACTGAAGTTGCAGCATTAACTTCAGTCAATTTGAAGAATGTTTGTGCCAATAGAGTTCTTATAGGGGGAAAAAAAATGAAAATGGCTGCTGTCATTCGGCCAAGTGACTCGTGTACAAAAACTTCTGGCATAACTTACCTCAACATGCTAGAAGCATCAAGTATAATTTCTGATATGCAACCTTTGTTTAGTCTTTTCCTCCTCAGCAGCATCTTTACTTGTCTTTTTTAAAATTATTATTTTTATGAATATCTTTACCCGTCTTGACCTTATCTGAAACTACATTAGCCTCTCGTGTTAATTTTCCATGGCATTCATTCGTCAGGAATCAACTCTTTCCAGATTCAACCGTTTGGTAATTTTCCATTGCGCATTTTTCAAGGTTCAGCATTGCTGTGACAGTCAACAAAATTTGGCCTGGAGCAAGAATAAGAAGAGTCAATCCCATTTGTGCATGTCACAACTCTCGAATCCCATCTTAGCCATGAATGTGATGGAAGCACAATAGGTGGTTCTCATATGTTGACACAGGGAAGGTGTCTGAATTTAAAATGCTTTGACTACCATTCCTCAAGAAAGAATTCATTGATAATCTTGATTTTATAACAACATCAAAAGCATTCGAACTAATTGCAACAACTTTATATTACATAGGGCCAAATATATTTGGCCTAATTACAATCTACTTTAGCCCAAGACCTACTCCACATCAAAATTGCCCAGAAAGGTTATTACACAACACCTTCAGTTTATCTGAACCTAGTTATTTAGGTCGGCGGATAAGTCTTGCACTGCACTTTGTACCCATCGAAACTGGAAAATTCTAGTCATTCCCATTTGTACAACTAGGAAAGGTTATTCTACAATTAACATGTTCTACACAGCTAACTTACTCTAAGAGCTCTTCAGGAGCTTAGTTTTCATTTCTGTTGCGAACAAAAGAGGATCAGATCCATTTGCCGTCAAATTGACATGGTTCTGATCCACACTACTCTCAATTACGCCATATTGAGTCTTTGCTAGAATGATATCTCCAAGGTCTGCCATGGTGGATTGAAAATAATGATTAGAGAGTTTCATAAAGCATGGCGAGAAAGAGGAGACGATATTTTGGCCAATCAGTTAAAAAATAAAATCAGTTCTAAGACCTGTTACTGGATTAGAGGTGTTAAAGTTAACATTTTGGGACCATTTAAACAATCATGTAAATAAATACTAAACGAAATGATGTGATTAGCAGATAAATATTAAGAGAAATTAATCAATACCTAGATCAGCTGAGATGAGACATTCTCCTTGGTAATTTGGACCGGCCAAGACAGTCCCTGATGGTGAAATGATAACACTACCTCCAGAACATGTGATAGCATCTAAGGATGCATCACCATTTGAATCTCCAGGTGGCAATGGATAATCTCTCCTCCTGCAAAATTGATTTGCAGAGAGAACAAAGCAACCTCCTTCCAGGGCAATGTGTGTCATGGATGCTTTCCATATTTCCCCTGCATCAGCTGTAGGTGCACAATATATTTCCACACCTATATTTATGGCGCAAAACAGAGTTAATGAAAGATTGAAGAGCTCCAATTTGCTGGAGAACATTTTGGCAGGGAAAAAGCATTAAAGGATGATGAAATTGCAGATTATAGAATGTGCTTTAACAAGTTTGTAACACTGAAAGAAAAGGGAATTCAAATGCTAAATAACAGGAGAACTTTTAAAGTAACAAGGAGAAGAGGAGTACCTTTATCATATAACTCAGTTCTCAGAAGTGGCAATTTATTGTCCCAAGAGGTAAGGCCACCAATTTTTCCAATCGAGGTCTCATATATTGGCAGTGTTGATTTTTCTCCATAATACCACACTGCACTCTCTGATGCCATTTGTGTTAGCTTGCGCTGCTGTCCGAGATGCTGTCCCTGGGAATCAAAGAACAGCATCGTACTATAGAGATAAAACCCAGCTCTCTCCACCACTCCCATTACTAAATGGACTTTATATTTACCAGCAATTTTCGCAAGTCTATCAACTTCAAGACCTGCAAATTCACGTGTCCAAACTAAAATGAGCTACAATACAAAATGATGTAATAGAATTATGGGTTCAAAACGAAGAAACATGACTATTTGTTAGGTCAGTTTGTTTTCAGCTCAAGCAGCTGCCTCTATTCGGCAATATACAACGAAATGGTCAACAATCAAAAGATTCAATGCACCAATTTTTATTGCCGTTTCTACTGATGTTAAACCATATGAATTTCTGGAGCGCAACAAGAAAAAACCGTTGTGTCTTATAACTAAGTTCTTGTTCTGCTAGAAAACGTACTTAGCTGGCAGATGAAGGACCACGGCACAGATTAATTGGCAGAAATTACAGAGAGTAAAAAGCCTCGGTTGTGATCAAAAGGGGCTCTCACCAGGCACATCAATAGCTGAGTTATAGTACTTCCGCAAATCATCATCGGTTTCAGTTGAATTTGTGGCATCAAACTTCACACACCTAGGATAACCACCAACAAATGCTTCTGGAAACACAACCAATTGTGACCCATATGCAGCCGCACCAGCAATCAATCTCTCTGCTTTATCTGCTTAGCAAGAAAAAAAGAAAAGAGTAACAAATAGAAAAGATTAAAAAAAGACAAAAAGAAAAAACAGTTAATGCAAGCATAACCCAACATAAAAGACTCAAATTTGTGGAACTCAAAAAAAGACAACTCCAAGTACCCAATGTTGCCGGGGTGTCAAAAAACACTGTCGACGCCTGAACCACCGTGGCCCTCACCGGAGGCCTCGCTGCCAGACCTCCACTTGCGGTGGGCGGTAAAACAGAAACAGGTATATCACCATCTGGGCTCGCCATGCAAGCGGGTTTTGGAACCGAGTCATGATCAACGGAGTCCGTTTTGCGATTGGGGGGAGTCTTAGACGATTTAGTTTTAGTGGGTGGTTCGGGAGCGGGAAAGAGATCGGGTCGGGCATGGTGGACGAGCCAGTGAATGGCTGCACCGCAGGAGCTGAGACCCAGTTCATCTTTGAGGCGGTAAATGGCAGGGCTACAGATGGCTGGCATCCAGATATGGACCTTTTTGGCCTCTGATTGTTCTACGATGAGAGGGCGACGTCCTCTCTTCTTTACTTGCTTAGCCTCTGCATTTTTTGTGGATTCTTCCTCCATTAAAGACTGGCAAGTTTTACTTCACAAGTAGTTTTGACTATTGCCTCTCGAGTGAGTGAGGCAGTTGGTCGTACTTGGCGTTATGAACTATGTAGGACGCACGTACAGATGCTGTCTGTTAGAAAATTTGTTTCATGGTAATGCCTATGCTTTTAGTATCAGTATTGTGCGAATACTTAAACATCAACATTGTACCAAAGCTAAAACGTCAACTAAGATCGACTCTTTGCTGATTAATAAAACATATACTACACATTGTTAAAACATATGATTGTGCCCGTGCGAAATCCTAAATCCTATAAGCTTTGCAGATGCTAAAACATCGAAGTTGTAACCTCCGTTTTAGTTTTATGTCGTTGAAATGCAACAGTGGTTTAATTATAGATGATAAATTGAATTTATTCATCTGCAAAAAAATATTATAAAAGGTGACTGAACATTAATTACTTGTATGGTTATCACTTTTCGTAGAAAAGTACTTGCATATGATTATTATTTCTTTTTTGAGAAAGATGCGTCTTTGTAACTTTTAATTATGAGATCACTCCTGTTTATGATTTTCATCACGGTAGAAGTGGTTGGTATTGGAATCGGATAGTCAATTGATTTTATAAACATGATCTTAGTAGACAACATTTGCGCCAACCATAGCGAGGGGAAGCCCAGAAAGATGGTGAATTGGTTTTTCAGTTAGTATTTTATGACAACTTATCATGCACAGATGGTGTTTGGTTTACGGATTATGAACCAGAGCCACGAGACTGCCGATTTGCCCTAGTAATCCGGATCCTACTCATGTATAACTGACTCATAACAGATTTTCAACGTCAATATTAAGTAAGATTATACTTTTTTTTTGTTTTTTTTATCCTTTTAGGGTAAATTTTTTGTCCAACGCATAAAATTAAGGCAAATATTCTAAAGTTTTTTATATATAAAAATTTAAATTTGAAATCATCTATTTGAATGATTATTGTTTTTTTCATTCACACTAATCCTGTTTACTAAGTAAGATTATGCTTTGGTTCAACCAAAGGGCCATAAAAAAGTACATATGGATTGGATTTAGACATCAAGGATGAGTCCTTGATTTTTTAAAGAAAAAACAAACTAACAAATGCGAACATACATGCATCAACTATTAGTCCTGTATAGCGAATACTCCAATTAAGCAGCAGGGAGAAGGGAGGAAAAAAAAACTTAGTATGTTTTATCTATTTATTTATTTTGAGATATTAACAAGAAGTCTGTCCAGGCTACGCAATGAATAATCGATTTTAAAGAGGATTTTTTTTTTTTTTGGTTACGTTGCATTGCCACTTGCTAGTGAAGTAGAATTAACTAATGGTAAAATCAGAGGTAGGAATGACAACACGAGTGCCGAAGTGAAAAAGCTGAAGAAAGGAAACGTCTAGAGAGCCGTACAATCTTTTTTTTTAATAGTATAGTGAGTGATCTTCTTATGGGTAGAATGCAAATTGCAAAACCAATCTCACGAGTCGTGTCTAGCCCGCATGCGCTTGTGCGGAGACAGAAAACCATCCTTCCCTTGTTGCTAACAAAGAAACACGAAGGCCAAGAAACTCACTTGAGGACTAGTTATCTAACGTCAGAAATATTCCGAAGCAAAAACAGGAAAAGAAAGCTCCATATGGAACTATAACGTGGCGGCCTTAAAATTGACCTACAAATATTTTTTGTTGATAAATCTTAGAACGCACCTGTAACGTTTATCTTTTAAAAATCTTTAACTTGGCACCAAAAGTAAAGTTCAATTAATTTATTGGGAAATTAGCTATTTTAAAAAACGAATTATACCAATTAGTTGTTGTTTGATAATAAAAAATAAATAATTCAGAATAAAAATAGAAAAATCAGCATGGGAATGACAAATCAAATTTAATTGTTGTATTTTGTATTTTATCATTGAAAAATCGAAATAAAACATTAGAATACTAATTACTTTGTTTGGCACATAAATTTGAATGATGTTATATATTTATTATTATATCCTTCAATAGTCATAATAAATTTTTTCAGAAAAACAACTAATTTTTTTAAAGAAAATTATACGAACATTTTTTTATTCTTTATAAACAAGCTACTTGTTATATATATATATATATTTCAATTGAAAATAAATTGGAAGAATGGAGATTTTAAGTCAATTGGGATTGTGAAATATGTCACATGTTAAACCATGTGGAATCCTAGGTGGCTTTTAATCTTCATTGTCATCTTATCTCGTCCTGTCACATCGGCGAAAAATAAAATTTTATTCGAAACAATTCTTATACGCTAAAATGATTATTAGAATCTTAATTCATATATTTTCTATTCAATATTGAAAGAACGTACTAAAATGATTTAAAAAGTAAAAAATTTATGATTTTTTGGTATAATAAGCTTGAAAAAACAAATAGAAAGAGAAAGCAATTGCTTGTTTAAGCGAGGGAGATGAGCAAGAGAGATAATACTACGGTTTTGGTGGTTAATTAAGTGTTATTAAAGGGAGGCAAATAAGATAGTAGTATTTATAATGGTATATATGTAGTATTAATTAAAACCTGAGAATAGTTTTTTGACAATATATATATATATATATATATATATATATTTGTTTGTTTCGACATTCATTTTCTCTCAAACCCTCTCCTTCTGTAGTAACAAAAACTCTGAAAAAAAAAATATTTTCATTTTCATCTCATTCTAAGTTACCACACACTCCTGCATCCAAAAATGAAATGCAAACTTCCATTTTGGATGTTTCATTCATAATTATCACATAACAATTTAATATCTATATAATTGCTTTGTTACAGCATTACCAAGTTACGCACGACTCAATGGCAAGAAGAAAAAGGCGATCGTAGTACATTCTCTTGATCGTCATATTTTATTGATTTACTTTCTTAACATGTTCGAGGGAAAAAAGAAAGTAATGGAATTTTTTTTTTCAATCATAAGGTATAGTAGACTTTTAAAGCAAACAATTTGGTATTCACAATCTTAGGCACTCATTCGAACATTGTACCGAGTTTATTTATAAATAAATAATCGAAAAAAATCTCTTAATAAAGATTGACTTGGTCAATAATGTGATGCATTCATCAAATTAAAAACGGATCATGTGGAGATCATAATCCTTCTTTTTCTTTAAAAAAAAAAAAATTCTTTTTAATATAATCAACTAACTTGATTTAGTTAGTACTTCAATTTAAGTTGGTTAACATGTCGTTCCTGATTTCATATGGCTGCTTTCGCCCTATTTCTTTTCAACTTTTTTAAATAGCAAGTTTTTTCTTTTCGATAGTAGGTTTGGAATATATCTGTGAATGGTAATATTGTAGATATATTGTATGTATATACAATAATTTCATTCCCTCTCTGCTAGTATTGAAGAGCGCAGATTTGGTTCCTCAGAAGTAAGCTATTCACGAAATTCCTAATAAATTAATCCAGAATGCATACCTTCTGTTACAGAATGAAAGCCAAGCTAGCCATCAGTTAAGCAGTCTTCACTTGCCTTCATCTCAAAACACAGATAAGTGATGATATATGAAGAATAAATCATAATAAATTTCTTATCCAATAGCCCATTCAATAATACTACTACCATTCTAAAGGAGAGAGCCCAGCGCAACACAAACAGAATAATGAGACTATCCCAATACATCTGAAAGCCCAACCCAAGTGGCACAAAACTGTGAATACAAACCGTAAATACCCACACTAAAAGCATCACGCGCCGCCATTAAGGAGGCCACCTCAACATTTTCGGAAGCGGTCTAATCGTCGAGCATCTTTCGAAGGCGGTCTTTGACATAATCGCTACGAGCCTTGGCTCGGGCTTGTTGAGGGGCAATGTTGGCGAGGGACATGTAGGCTCCATAGACTGAAAGTGAAGCACCGGTGAGAAACAAGCCAATCGTGACAGCTAGTTGCCTCCGCGTTGGTGGGTATGACCAAATCATGATCTATCTGGGTTTTGTTTATAGTAGGATTCGTTTGTGAAGTGAAATGAACTGAACTTTCTTGGTGGAGATAAATGATGATTGCCATTGCAGAGGCCAGGGGGTATTTAGCAATTTAGTTGAGTATGATGGGCTTGGGCTTAGGCTTAGCCCATGTGATCAGAACTAAAAGTTGAGTTTTAGAGTCGGACCATAATAGATAAAGAAAGCTGCATATGAACATGTTTTAAATTTAAATTTTAATAAATATAATAATAACTTTTAACTATTTAATAAATTTTCTTCCATGGAAATGATCTCGGTGTTGCAGCTGTGGTTCGGGTCGCTCAATCCACTCTCTCTCTTGTTTTTCAGCATCTAAGACTCCGTCTCATGCTATTATTCATGGGTCTCGCGATCAAAAGATCTCTGGTTGTCGAAGACCACGGGAAGGGTGGGTCAAACTTAAGCTTTAACCGCAAATGGGTGTGATGTGGGAATTTTTTTTTGTGATCATCAGAGTCAAGTTTCATGGTGTATAACTTCCAAATGAGTTCTCTAAATTTTTCCTTAATGAGCTGTTTACAGTGTGATTTTTTTTCATGCGTTCTCAGTCTCAGAAATCTTTTATCATTATTTATCAATAGAATAATCGAAAATAATAAATATGTGATAAGGTATTAAAACCTCATTATATTGATAGATTCGACAACTATGATATTTGAAATTTATTTAAAATTGTAATTCCATACTTCGATTGATCATAGATTTTCAAACGAAACTACAATTGACACGAAACAATAACAAAAAATCTCAAATATTGAAGACAACAAACTAAATAAAATCAGAGATTTTAGATAATATAAATTTAAATCTATAATCATTTTAACTATTAAAAACATCAAATCAAGAAAATAGATTTGGAATTAGTAAGAAAAAAATAAGAGAAGGATTAAGAGGCTATCGTCAATGATTAAATAATCATCAGCGACAATCCAAAAAAATGTTATTGAAAGGGTGCTTATGCAGAGGAGAAATAGAGAAAGAGAGATGCCATAGTTTTTCCAATTTTTTAGTAACTTATTAACACTTTATTTTGACTATTTAAACTTTAAATTTCATGTTCATGCCTTTTTTTTTCTATACAAACCACATATGCTTAAAAACCAATAATAATAAAACTACATTTAAATTTAATTAATTATTTAACTGTATATTTGTTGTTTTTTTTTCATAGGGACTTGATTATTTTTGCAACATATCGCCAGCTTAAGGGAACTAATTTATTTGTATATTGGATTACAAATCGAGATCCAATAGAGAAGAATCGTGGCTATTGTATAAAACTGCTAAAAAACTTTCAAGTCTTATGGTAACTTTGAGAATTTGACATATTTACAAAAATCATTTATACCTTTTGACAAACTCTACTAATATTAAAAAAGACTAGTAAAAAGATAAACTAAAATTTTTATTCGTATTTATATCTTTAATATTTACCTTACATATGTTAAAAAAAAAACTCTTTAAAATAAAAGATTTGTAAAAACTATAATGCTAATAAAATTAATTAAAATTTAGTGGAGTCTTGAAAGAATATTTATTCACATTTATACCTTATGTATTTGGAATATACATAAATGATTTTATTTAAAAAGAAAAATATCTACATAAAGTCTTTATTTTTATTTTTATTATATTTTTTTAACATTTTATAAAACTTTTATAAATACACATGCGCATGCGTATAATACTAGCATGAATAAAAAGGAAGGAAATTTATTTATTTATTTTTAGAGGGAGCTGAACTTATTTATTCTTAAAAAAAAAAAAATCCAAACATCTTGTGACTAGGCCGAAATCACCCCAACCATTTGGCCCAGTTCATCACTGGACCACACCGGCTCACCCCTCTCTCTGTTTCCTGTGTTTCTCAATTCTCGTGTTCCCGCCATGCCAAGAAATCCCTCTCTCTTACAAGTCCATGCCTTTAAATCCCTCCTCTAATCCTTCAATCCCCATTCTCATAAAATCCTGCAAAACAATTCTCCACCTTCACCAACTCCATGTCCACATAATCCACAAAGGTCTTGAACAAGACCACTCTATAATCTCCCACTTTCTATCCATCTCCACTTCAGTTTCCTACTCCACTTCTGTCTTTAATCGCCTTCTTAACCCCTCCACTTTCCTCTATAACATCCTCCTTAAAATCTTCTCTAAAAACTCCCAATTCAATGGCACATTTTCGCTCTTCAATCGAATGAAACAAAGCGACCATGCATTGCCTGATAAATATACTTATCCGCAGCTTATTAAGGCCTGTTCTAATGAATTGAGATTGAAAGAAGGTCAAATTGTTCATGGGTCGGCAATACGGTGTGGGGTTAGTGATGATGTTTATGTTGGGTCTAGTTTGATTGATTTTTATGGTAAATGCAAGGAGATATTGAGTGCACGCAAGGTGTTTGATGAAATGTCTGAGAGAAATGTGGTTTCTTGGACAGCGATGATTATTGGATATGCAAATTTTGGGGATTTAGAAAACGCTAAGAGGGTGTTTGAGAGAATGCCGGAGAGGAATTTACCGTCGTGGAATGCAATGATTAGTGGACTGACGAAAGCAGGGGATCTAAAGGGAGCGAGGAAGGTGTTTGATGAAATGGTTGAGAGAAATGTTGTTTCGTTTACAGTTATGATTGATGGGTATGCGAAAGCTGGGGATATGGTGTCTGCAAGGGCATTGTTTGAGGAAGCTCCAGAGAAAGATATTGTTGCGTGGTCAGCATTGATTTCTGGGTATTCTCAGAATGAGCAGCCTAATGAGGCTCTAAAGATATTTCTTGAATTGGTGTCAGTGAATGTTAAGCCTGATGAATTTATAATGGTGAGCATGATGTCTGCTTGTTCTCAACTGGGTAGTTTAGATATGGCTAAATGCATTGATAGTTACTTGAGCCAGACTTCAATTGATATTCTTCAGGCTCATGTTCTTGCAGCTCTTATTGACATGCATGCAAAGTGTGGGAACCTGGAAAAAGCAAAAACACTGTTTGAAGATATGCCTAGGCGAGACCTAATTTCATGTTGTTCTTTGGTACAAGGTTTATCTATTCATGGACGAGGAGCTGAGGCTGTTGAGTTATTTAGCAGGATGTTGGATGAGGGTTTAATTCCAGATGCAGTGGCATTTACGGTAATTTTGACCGCCTGTAGCCAAGGAGGGCTAATTGAGGAGGGTTGGTACTTTTTTGATGCCATGAAAAACAAGTACTCTCTAGTTCCCTCCCCTGACCATTATGCCTGTATGGTTGATCTACTTAGCCGAGCAGGAGAACTAAAAGCAGCTTACGATCTTCTAAACTCAATTCCTTTGGAGCCTCACGCTTGTGCTTGGGTTGCACTACTTGGGGCTTGTAAATTGCATGGTGATGTTGAGTTGGGAGAGGTGGTTGCTAATCGGCTGTTTGCACTTGAACCTCAAAATGCTGGTAGTTATGTGCTCTTATCCGACATCTATGCTGCAGCAAATCAATGGTTGGATGTTTCTTTTGTTAGGGAGAAAATGAAGGAGAGAGGGATTAGAAAAGTACCTGGTTGCAGTTGTATATTTACAGAGGCCTAGAATTCTTGGCATCGCCCTCAATGATCCCGGTTTTCTGTCTAGAATTAGATGAGGTATAAAAGAAGAATCTAAGATTGGTTTGCTGGAAGGCGGTTGGTTGCGGAACATAAACAGGGATTCCAATCCATTACTCCAGGATCTTTGGACCTTCTGCCCCTATCCCTGGTTGCTGCATGAGGTAATTGAACATGAAAAAAATTGCGTTTTGATAGCAAACATTTGAACATTAAGCTATCGTGTGGAGACATGAGTATTTCATGGACATTCAGATTTTTGATGGATCCCCTTTCAGTTATTCTTGGTGAGTTTGTTCTTTGATATCATGTCTCAGAAAATATGAAGCTTGAGTCCTGTACATATTTAAGACTTACCCATTCAATTGACTGTTCTAACCGATGAAGGAGCAAATGATTTGGCTTCCTCAAGAAATTGTTACTGTAATTTTAACTTAATCACCATTCCTATGTATTGTTGTAATCCATGTTTTCAATGGAATAAGTTTATTTGATCTTAAAAATCATGTCAAGGTGCATATTATTCCCAGAAACGGTCTATACCCATTGCTCATCCCTTTCTTCACAACTTTGAATGAAGCTTGTTTAAGGCTTTCATAATAAGTTTTGACTTGAGAATGTTGATCTGTTCAATGACTGTGATTTGAGACGACATTTAAATAAAAAGTATTCAAAAAACAAGTTATCTCAAGCTCCATATATTCATAAGGAAGTGGGAAAGGCAGATTAATCTTGTGTGCACGTGTTGCTACCACGGTTTCTAGATGTAGTGAAGCCTTAGCAGGATTTGAGATTTTCAATAAGTGCAAGGAAAAATCTCTAGAATCAGATTACAGGTTACTTCGCTGCTGTCTCAGCACTAAGCATCATGTATACACAGTATTCAGTAGCTTGGAGGAGCAAGTTTGATTTTCTCAAACAGCATTAAAAGTTATGTTCCGTTTAGGTCTAATGGTGAAAGGAACTGATTCGTTTCTCCATCACTGTTTCAGCCTGCATTGACCTGAAAACTTCAGCAGCTTAATTGGTGTCAGAGCAATGGAAAAATGTTGCTTGTAAAAGATATTAGCGAAGCAACCATGTTCCATGTCTATTGATTGAATGAAGTTGATGGCTTATGTTTGGTAACTTCTTGCTGCTACCATCTGCGGTTCACTAACAACATAAAACTTGTGAGATCTCAATCAGCTTCTCAACAAGCTTTCCTCAGGTGCTTTCTTTATCCTATGTTGCAAACTTAGAAGCGAGCATAATGTTGGGAATGTGAAGTCTAAAGTCAGGCATGAAACTAACTTGGACAATCTCAATTTCTGTAGCATCTCTAATTTCTTGATAAATCTTCATTTTTTCCATTTCCTTTTATTTTTCCTATAGGGCAGGATCCATCTCAGATATTGCTGCTAATTTGGGGATTTGGATGCACAACTTGATTTGTTAAGATCTTGGAAGTTTACTAAACATATCTATTATTAATATTCTTGGAAGTGTAGTTGCACATCATCTCTAGCAAAGAAGTGCTACGGTACATTCATCTTGCAATCAGTTAAACACTGCAACAAAACATTCATTTTTCATCACGTCAACTGCACATTTGATATTTTGTTTTTTGAAACCTGCATGTTATTCTTGCATTTCAAAAAGCATAAGCCGAGGGAGGTTCCTCGCAAGTCTTCACAACATGTGTATCCAAGTATGAGATTGCAACAGCAGCATCAAGAGCTGTGCCTATTGGAAGAGCCTCCTCGTCAATAAAGAAGTAAGGTGAGTGAAGTGGCTGATGTGATTTCAGAGTCTCATTCATTGTCCCGATCACAAATATTGCAGCAGGCATCCTTTGGGAGAAGAAGCTGAAATCCTCTGCTCCCATTGTTACTGGGAATAGCTGCACATTCGGTTCTCCAAGTAAGGCCTCTCCAACCTTCTTTGCGTGCTTGTACAGTTGTTCATCGTTAATCATCGCAGGATGTGGCAGGTGTCTGTCCTCCATAAAGTACAATGTAGCATTGCATCGATGCACTGCTGCATGGGTCTCTATAATCTATAAAACGGACATGGTTATTTTACTTGTGCATCTTTCTTTAAGCGATCGGCAACAACCAAAGGATCACAGATTGAGTGCATGCTTTTACCTCTTTGATTCTCTTTTGTATGTAAGAGACACCTTCGCTGCTCAAACTCCTGAAGGTTCCACCAAATTTCACAGATTCCGGAATTACATTTCCAGCTTTGCCTCCCTCTATGTACCCCACTGTCACCACCTATATGATTCAAAATGAATGAATGAATTTTTCTGATATTCAATTGCTGTTGGAATTTGGAAGGCTGGTTCATTGTTATTCGAAGCATGTATTGCCAGACAGGATGTTGCTTTAAGGGCTGTTCCCATCTGTGAACTGGCACAACATGTGAACCTTTTTTAGATCGGTTTCCACCGAATCTTTAAAACTAATCGCAGGTTGAAAGAACCTATATGGATTTGGCTTGACCATCGAAGTATCCATATTGCAGGCAGAGGTCCACATTGTGTTTGAACTCGATGTGTCAATCTATACTGCCAGATTAGAAGTAAGTGCAATTCACTGGTTGGCTGGTTGCGCCTTTTAGACATTAAATATCTTGCGACTGTAGACTATATCACAGATCATGTCGTGAACTGTTTTTATGAGTTAACTGGATTGTGGTACGATCTCCAATTCAATAATGATTTCAAGGGAAGTGAAAGAGAATTACCGCAGCTTCAAGAGGATCAGTCTCTCGAGATACTATCTGCTGGAGAGCAACGACTGCAGATGATGCCACAAGAATTGGGTCCCTAGCCAAATGTGGGGATGAAGCGTGAGCACCTTTTCCTCGGATTGTAGCTTCAAAAAGTCCCACACCAGCTAGCACTGGACCGGGTCTTGAAGCAATGGCACCGGTTGGTACTGATGGAATAATATGTATGCTTAAGATGGCGTCAACGTCATCAAGACAACCATCTTGTAACATATGGTACGCACCGGCATGGCCTTCTTCTCCTGGCTGGAAAACAAGCTTCACGGTTCCCTTCATTAAGCAAACATAATTTAGTAACAACGGAAAGATGCTCAAATTTTGAAGTTGCTGTCTTCGTTTTTTTTTTTTTTGTCCTTCTCCTATAATTAGTTTGAATCTACCTTCAGTGTGTCTTTTTTGGCTTGGAGTAACTTAGCTGCTCCAAGTAGCATTGCTACATGAGAATCATGACCACAGGCATGCATCTTGCCATCAATCTTGCTCTTGTGCTCCCAATCTACTTCTTCCTTTGGATCGTTGATGTCAATGTCAAGGTATGCAAATTTATTAATAGCTAAAGATAGTTAAAAAAAGAAAAGAAAGGACGACAGATGTACTTGGTACAAGTTGCTGTACTTATTAACTCAGAAGTAAAGACCATCACTAGTCAATGGTGGCCCATCATAGAGCGGGACTTGTTCCATATTTTGCGTCTGTGCGCGCGCGTTAAGGGTGATGGGACCGTATAACGTTTGAGATAAAAAAGGGTGAGAGAGAGGACCTGTAGAGGCAGGGCATCCATGTCAGCTCTGAGACCAAAAACTGGCTTTTGACCGGAACCGATGGTAGCTACGACGCCAGTCTTGGCAACAGGCCATTTGTAGTCAATTCCAAGCGAATCAAGCTCAGATCTGATGATCTCACTTGTTCTGTACTCTTCAAATCCTAGCTCTGGATATTCGTGAATTCTTCTTCTGATTCCTCTCAGCCATTCAAAGAAGTCTGGTTCTCTCGCTGCTGCTAACAGCTCACGAGTCAGAAACTGAAGGCCCAGTTCATGACCAGTTTCCAAAGCCGAAGATTGTTGGCATGTAAAGAATGAGAGGAAGAACCAGGCGATTAACTCCATTGGAAACGCAAGAAAAATATTTGGTGGATGGTTTTGGAGTCTTCCGGAGGTTTTGGAGTTCCTTTTGTAATCGGGCATGAGGATTTTATAAAACGATTTGAGAGCAAATGACCATCTTGTCTATGCATTTTACTCATTAAGATTTTTGAGTGAATTAACAACAATAATCTTCTTAATTATATTGTTTAGATGGAAGCTTATTGGTGCGTATAGAATTTTTAGTGATGTAGTGGGAGTTTCATCAATTCCTTTTTCTTTATCTGGGACAATGTCAGTGGAACTAAACTTTCTTTTTATTTTATTATGGATGCTAACTTGGAAAGCCACAACTCATCTGATTCACTGCTCCCTCCTACATTGGGTATAGGCTTACGCATATAGGCCCAGTTGAAAGCAAGTTCATGATAAAACAATTTCGAAAAAGTTAGACAGTAAAATTGTTTTCAGTTAAATTTTGGGATCAGAATAGGTGGGTTTATTTAGTAAGAGTTATAAGTGGCGTTAATAAAAGGTTATCTAAAAAAATAAAAAATCACTATTAAAAAGAAAAAGACAAAAAAGAAGTAAATTATAAATTAGTCCTTTTTATTTTCAAGAAACAAATTAATTAATATATTTTTTTAAAAACTAATTATTTAGTCCTTAACTAGTATAAATCAAATTTAATTTAATATTATTTTATTTCATAAAACGTCATTTTTCTTATAAATCTTTTTATATTTTTTTCTTAAAATAAAAAATAAAATAAATGGAAAAGCAGCAAAAAAAAAGTTACAAAAAAATTTAAAAAATAATTAATTTTCAAAACAAAATGTACTGTTAATTTATTTCTTGAGACTAAAAGAACTAATTTATAATTTATTAAAAAAAAGTTGTCTTAGCTGGGTGTTTTCTTTACCCTATATCCAACATTACAAGCGCGAAAAATTTAAGATTGAACTGTCAAATGTCAATCACCTTTTTGCGTAGTATCCATGGTTTAGTCCCTCTCATTTGAAGAAAAAAATTAATTAGTCCTTTTTATTTTAAAAGCTGATTATTTAATTTTCATATTTTGAAATTTACTTATAATTTAATTTTTTTAATTTATTTTATTTTTTTAAGAAATAGAAAAACAAAATAAATATGAAAAATGTGGAAAGATTGATGAAAAAATGAGAGATTTTATGAAAAAAAAATTAAATTAATTATAGTTAATACTGATTAAAGAATGAAACAAAGGAGATTAATTAATTTGTTACTTGAAATAGAGGGATTAACTTATTATTTACTCTATCCATGGTTTATGTTTGTTTTTTTTTTTTTTTTTTTTGAAGTATTGATAGGTTCTTTGACATAGCTAGCGGTTCGTTGTATCCCCCTTTCGTTTCATCCCCTTCTCAATTACGGGAACTAACCTGTGAGTTGAATATACCCCTTGATTTATCAAGATTCTTGAAAATTTAGTTGCATATCATCTATAGTACAGAAGTAGTTCCAAAAAAAAAAAAAATGTAGATATAGAATTGATACAGTACATTCATTTTGCAATTACTAAAACACTGCAGCAACATGTTCGTTTCTGCATAATGTCAACTGTACTGCTGCTGATTTTATTTTGCGAAACTTCCATGCTATTCTTGCTTTTCAGAAAGGGAAAGCCGAAGGAGGTTCCTCGCAAGTCTTCACAACATGTGTATCCAAGTATGAGATTGCAACAGCAGCATTCAGAGCTGTGCCTATTGGAAGAGCCTCCTCATCAATAGAGAAGTAAGACGAGTGAAGTCGATGATGCGATTTCAGAGTCTCGTTCATTGTCCCAATCACAAATATTGCAGCAGGCATCCTTTGGGAGAAGAAGCTGAAATCCTCCCCTCCCATGGTTACTGGGAATAGCTGAACATTGGGTTCTCCAACTAAGGCCTCTCCAACCTTCTTTGCATGCTTATACAGTGCTTCATCATTAATCATCACGGGATACGGCAGATGTCTCTCCTCCATAAAGTTCACTGTAGCATTGCATTGATGCGCTGTTGCGAGGGTCTCTATTATCTACAAAATGGACATGTATTCATTTATTTCCCTTCTGCATTTCTGTCTTTCAATGGATCACTGAATAAGTGCATGCTTTTACCTCTTTAATTCTTTTGTGTAGGTAGGAGACACCTTCGTTGCTCAAACTCCTAAAGGTTCCACCAAATTTCACGGATTCTGGAATAACGTTTCCAGCTTTTCCTCCCTCAATGTACCCGACTGTCACCACCTATATGATTTAAAATGAATGAATTAATTTCGTTAATACTCAGATGCTGTTGGAATGCGGAGTTCTTTGTAATTCAATGCATGTATTTGCCAGACTAGATGTTGCTTCAAGGGCTATTGCCCCTATTGAATTTGGGCAAGTTGTGAACCTTTTTACATTTACAGATTGAAACTATACAGCCCTTATATCAGGCAGATTGTGTTTGAACATGTTGCATCAAACCATACAGCCCCATTAGATGTAAATGCGATTCGCTGGCAGTTGTGCCTTGAGGATTTACAATGACCAGTTCAAGAATGAATTCTAGGAAGTGGAAAGGAAATACCGCAGCTTCAAGAGGATCCGTCTCTCGAGATACAATCTGTTGGAGGGCGACGACTGTGGATGAAGCCACAAGAATTGGGTCCCTAGCCAAATGTGGGGATGAAGCGTGGGCACCTTTTCCTTGGATTTTAGCTTCAAAAAGCCCCGCACCAGCAAGCAATGGACCGGGTCTTGAAGCAATGGCACCAGTTGGTACTGATGGAATAACATGTATGCTTAAGATAGCGTCAACGTCATCAAGACAACCATCTTGTAACATATGGTACGCACCGGCATAGCCTTCTTCTCCTGGCTGGAAAACAAGCTTCACGGTTCCCTTCATTGAGCAAATATAATTTAGAATCAAAAGAAAAAAGACAATCGAAGTTGGAATCTCCATTAATTGTTCTCTCTAATGATTAGTGGGATTCTACCTGCAGTGTGTCTCTTTTGGCTTGAAGTAACTTGGCTGCTCCAAGCAGCATTGCTACATGGGAATCATGACCGCAGGCATGCATCTTCCCATCAATCTTGCTCTTGTGCTCCCACTCTACTTCTTCCTTTGGACCGAAGATGTCAATTTCAAGGTATGCGAATTTATTAACAGCTCAAAACAGTTGGGGAAAAAAAAAAAAGATTTACTTGGTATAAGTTGCTGAAGTTATTATCTCACAGCACAGTCCAGACTTGCTCCATTTTTTTTGTATGTCCTTTGTGTGTTTTAAGGGTGATAGTTATTGCTAGATGATCTCGATTTCTAGGAATGAAAATTTACTAACAGCTCAAAATAGTGGGAAAAAGAAGAAGAAGAAAGAATATCCTTAGTGTAAATTGCAGCATAGACCATAGGCAGTTAATTGTGGAGGGACTTGTTCCATATATTTAGGTGCGTTTTGTGTGCGTTGAGGATGATGGGACCATAGATCTATGAGAAAAAAAGAGGGAGAGAGTGAGGACCTGAATAGGAAGGGCATCCATGTCAGCTCTGAGACCAAAAACTGGCTTTTGACCAGAACCAATGGTAGCTACCACACCAGTCTTGGCAACAGGCCATTTGTAGTCAATTCCAAGCAAGTCAAGCTCAGACCTTATTATCTCACTGGTTCTGTACTCTTCAAATCCTATCTCTGGATACTCATGAATTCTTCTCCTGATTCCTCTAACCCATTCAAAGAAATCTGGTTCTCTTGCCGATGCTAACAGCTCCCGAGTCAGAAACTGAAGACTTAGTTCATGAGCACTTTCCAAAGCCAATGACCGTTGGTATAGAAAGACTGAGAGCAAAAAAAACCAGGTGATTAACCTCATTGGAAATGCCGTCAAAGACTCAAATTGTTCGTTTTGTGGTTTGATGGAAGGTTTTTGGAGTCTAATGAATCCATTGGACTACGCAATAAATATAACCCTTTTATTATATAATTATTAAAACGATTAGAGCTATCAGGACTCGAATTTTGTTGCATTAAAGAAATTAGCCAAGTACACGACCATGTAGCCAGTCTGCTTGTATAATTTTTAATGAATCATGTTATTTTAATTATCTAATATTTATTTTGAATTCAGCCATGTGGCTGCATTCGGTTTATAAAACTATTAAGGGTGAAATTACCATTTTGTCCACGTAGCTTTCTCATTAAGATTCTAGTTAATTAACTAACACGTATAATCTTCTTCTTAATTACTTACATTGTTCACTCGTTATCTTATGTGGTTGGTAGGTGCTTAACTCACATAGTGGGGCCCGCACTATGGGCTCCCTTGTCTCTCTATATATAGATTTATTATTATTATGTTTTTGTTATAAAATAAATAAAAATAATAGGATAATTGAAGAAAAAGATGACAAGAAAATGAAATCACTATAATGTTAATATAAGTGATAAGAAATTCAAAGTTTCTCTTATTCTCTCTATGAAATTTATACGCCAACTAATGAGCAATCAAGCCTATTTATAGGCTTCAAAATTAAAGAGAGAATTAGAAGGGACTATGAATAATCAATTGCATCACCTTTTTAATTTCTCATATTGAATGATGAATTGAATCATATTAAGAATCATGAGTAGTGGGGGATATGAAAAGTGGATGAACATGGTGATGGACATTCATTATTTCATAACACTCCTCCTTGAATGTCCATTGTACAAGGAACATGCCTTGTTAAAACCTTACTACAAAAAAACTTAATGGGAAAAAAATTTTAGTGAAATAAAAAGAGTACAATATTCCTTGCACACATTAATCTCCATTTTGGTCTCCCCTTGTTAAAGGCATTATTAAGATCTCTAAGACGACGCATTCCAATCTTATGAATCATCTTCTCAAAAGTTGTGGTAGGTAATGCTTTAACGAATAAATCTGCTAGATTGTCACTTTGATGTATTCTTCATTCAATGGAATTATGCAAGTAACATTATCCTCATATGATATTGTTGAAACTTCTTTTGTTGGTAAATAAACTGCATGTCTCTCGGATACGATGGATCGTTGATCTTAGCCAAACACATTCTCGACTTGCCTCGTGAATTGATATTTCTACATGATTTAAAGATGTGGCAGCTATAGTTTGCTTCATAGAACGTCATGATATAGTCTGTATCTCCATATGTAAATACATAACCGAGTTTGAGATCGAGCTTTGTGTGGATCATATAAATAACCTACATCCGTATAACCAATTAATCCGATCTTTGATTTGTTAGAGTAATATAAGCCCATATCAATTATTCCTCGGAGATAACATAATATATGTTTAATTTCATTCTAATGTCTCCGTGTTGGAACGAACTATATCTTGCTAATAAATTTATAGAAAATGCTATATCGGGTTGAGTATTATTAGCAAGATACATTAATGCACTAATTGCACTAAGGTATGATACTTCGGGACCAAAAAGTTTTTCGTTATTTTCTCGAGGTCGAAAATGGTCCTTTTGAACATCAAGTGGACGAACTACCATTGGGCTAGTCAATGGATAAGCCTTATCCATGTAGAATCTTTGTAATACTTTTTCTATATATGTTGACTGATGAATAAAAATTTCATCTTTTAAGTGTTCGAACTGCGAGCCGAGATAAAAATTTTTTTTCCAAGATCTTTCATATCAAATTCTCCTTTTAAATAATTTATGGCGCTTAAAATCTTTTCGGGAGTTCCAGTTATATTTAAATCGTTAACATATACATCAATTATCACAAACCCCTTTTCGAATCTCTTTATAAAGACACATGGATAAATTGGGTTATTTTTATAACCTTCTTTTAATAAATAATCACTAAGACGATTATACCACATGTGTCTAGATTGTTTCAATCCATATAGAGATATTTATAATTTAATCGAATATATCTCTCAAAAATGTATTTTACATGCTTAAGACATTTTAAGTCCTTCTAGGACTTTCATATAGATATCATTATCAAGTGGCCCATATAAATAGGTCTGTGATTACATCCATTAAATGCATATGAAGTTTTTCACATGATATCAAGCTAATAAGATAACGAAATGTAATTGCATCAATTATAGGAAAATATATCTCTTCATAGTCAATGTCGAGTCTTTGTGAAAACTTTGTGCTACAAGTTTTGCTTTATATCTCACAATTTCATCCTTTTCATTTCGTTTTCGCACAAATAATCATTTGTATCCTACTGGCTTAACATCTTCTTGTGTTTTAACTATGGGTTCAAAAAACTACTCTTTTGTAGGAGAACATAATTCCGCATGGATTGCTCTTTTCATTTAGGCCAATCATCTTTAATCAACATTCTTCAATAATTTAGGCTCATGATCCTTATTTTCCTTCAAAATATCAATTGTAACTTTACATATAAAAATTTTATCAATAAATATTTCTCTTTGGTCCTATTTTCTCCCTATATTAACATAATTTATCAAAATCTTTTGATTTTGATCAAGCATTTGGATTTCTTCTAGAAGCCTATTATCGAAATATCTTGGACCTTTTTGTGAATATTTACATCCTTTATATTTTCATCTTGTACTTTTTTTTATGGATTTTTATCTTTAAAATCGATCGATCTTCCACGCTTCGGGCGTGCTTTAAATTCATTTGTTATAACATTAATAGGTTGTCCTACTTGGGATATCAATTTTAATAGGAGCATTCTCGGTAGAAACATGTGATTTAGTTACTCTCTTTGGATCGAGAGAATGCATCCGGCGGTTGGTTTGTAAGACTTTTAAATGAATTATCCTGCTGAACTTTAAGTTCACATTGTTTTGTACGGGGATCAAGATGATATAAAGATGAAGTATTCCATGTAATTTCTTTTTCCAACATTTCTAATCGCTTATTCTGTTTAATTTCTCCTCCTAATGTTGGAAAAATTATTTCATTAAAATGATAGTCGATAAAACAAGCCGTAAAAACATCTCCCGTTAATGGTTCAAAATATTTAATTATAGAAGGGGATTCATATCCAATATATATTCCCAATCTCTTATGAGGACCCATTTTAGTTCATTGTGGAAGAGTAATTAGGATATATACCGCACATCCAAAAATCCTCAAATGAGAAATATTAGGCTCATGACCGAAACCAATTGAAAGGGAGATAATTTCGATAACTTATAGGCACGATGCGAATAAGTATTGCTGCATGTAAAATTACATATCCCCAAACATAAACGGGAAGTTTTATTTTCATAAGTAATGGTCTAGCTATCAATTGAAGGCTTTTGATAAATGATTCTACTAGACCATTTTGAGTATGAATATGAGCAACAGATTGTTCAACTCTTATTTCAATAGACATGCAATAATCATTAAAAGCTTGAGATGTAAATTCACCGAGCATTATCAAGACGAATTATTTTAATGGTATAATCTGGAAATTATGCTCGTGATCAAATTATTTTCTAGCAATCTAAAAAACATCGGGTTTCGAGTAGATAATAAGCATATATGTGACCATCTTATGGATGCATTTATCAAAATTATAAAATATTTAAATGGTCCACATGGTGGATGAATTGATCCACATATATCACCTTGAATACATTTTAAAATACCGAAGATTCAATCTCAATTTTACTTGATGATGGCTTAATCATCAATTTGCCTTGACAACATGCGGAACATGAAAGTTCATTAAATTGAAGAATCTTCTAGCTCTTCAATAGATATTCATATAAATTTTTTAATAATTTTTTCGCATCATGAAAGACCCAAGATAACACAACTAGTCATGTCACGTAGTAAAATTATTTGAATTAGTAAACTTCGGTTTACTACAATATTTGTTTCAATCATTTCAATATTTGTAATAAAGACTAGAAGAGAAAACGGATAAATTTTTTGATAGATATTTTCTATCTAATATAATGATTATAACATATAAGTATTCACATTTGCTATCTTGATATGATATCAATTCGGATGAATATCTTTGAAACTCAACAAATTTCTATGAGACTTTGAAGAGAATAGTACATCATTCATAATAAATTTATCATTTGAGATAATAACATATTTGCTCTTCTGGAGCCTTTAAATTAGTCACTTCAAGTAATAATATATCGACTCTTCTAGAGCCTTTAAACATTTTCTCTTCAAGTAATAATTTATTCACTCTTCTAGAGCTTCAAAAATTTATCTCTTTAAGTCATGATATAATCGCTCTTTTAGAGCCTTTAAAATCTATCTCTTTAGATAATAATATAGTCGCTCTTCTATAGCTTTCTATTAGATTGATATTATCATATATAATTTAACATAAAATAAATAATCAAATAAATAAATATATATATTCCTCATAAACATAAACAAATAAATAAATAGTAAAATAAATTTATAACCATCACTATACGATATAAATTATAAAAAATATAAAATATTTTACTTATAAATAAAAAAACTAACAAGTAATTAATTTCAATTACTATTATTTTGATATATAAAAGTGGCTTTCATATTTTTCTCTTTATTTTTCAATAAGGCTTGAGAAGGCTCAATGAGGTGCTTTGGTGTGTGGCGGGTACACGATCAATATTCATTCATTCCACATCTATTATATTTATTTTTTAGAATACCGACTTTATCTATTTTTATTCTTTTTTTTTCATAGTTATCCACTTCGATGGTGAGATATAATATTATAGTCATTACAATTATAATGATAATTGTTTCGATTACGTCCATGGCTATGATCACATCTTTGTCCATGCTCAAAATTATTATAAGTTGTGACATTCATTTCGGGGAATGGAGTAAATCCAATTGGATGAGATCTATTCTTTTTCATCAATAGCTTGTCATTTTATTTAGTCATGAGCAACTATGAAATCGATTCAGAATATTTTTTAAATTCATCTTCTCGATATTACTACTTGGAGGAGCATATTCAAGACATAAAAAGTAGAGAATATTTTTTCATAATCAAGCACTCATAATTAATAATTCTTATTGGAAATATCAAGAGCCACAAAATCAAGTTTATGAGGTTTGATATGATAAAAATTCTATAATACAATATATAATAATAATATTAGAAAATAAGAACAAATATAATAATAAAATTAAAGCTTTTCAAATAACATATATTAGATCATTAGTAGATCATTTAAGTTTTTTAAATATATATTTCATGTATCAATATATTTAAAGTACATGAATAAATTAGACGCATACCTCTTAATGATCTAAATAATTTAGATCTTTTAGTAGAGCACTTGTGTAGAAGAAATCCAATTGTTGAAACAATTGATTAAATCTTTTGGTAGATACGTACCTCATGGTCTATTGTCTCGATTGGTTAGAGCTTCGTGCCGATAACGTGTTATAAAATAAATAGAAATAATAAGAGAATTAAAGAAAAAGATGACAAGAAAATGAAATCACTATAATGTGAATATAAGTGATAAGAACTTCAAAGTTTCTCTTACTCTCTCTAAGAAACTTGTACGCCAACTAATAAATAATAAAGCCTATTTATAGGCTTTAAAATTGAAGAGAGAATTAAAAAGGACTATGAATAATCAATTGCATCACCCTTTCAATTTCTCATATTGAATGATGAATTGAATCATATTAAGAATCGTGAGTAATAGAAATATGAAAAGTGAATGAACATGATGATAAATATTCATTATTTCATAACAGTTTTTATTTTATGCTTTAAAGGGGAGAAAGTCATCAGAGCCAAACTTTCTTTGTACTTTCATTTGTGAATGATGAATTTATCTTAATTTTTGTGCCTTCTTAAGGGATAAAATTGTAATTTGAGGGATTCCATGAAATTTTAAGTTGTCTACTAGTTTATGAAATTTTCATTACAACTGAAATTTGAAAATTGCCTTTACTTGAAAACTTGCACAGTACCGAATGCATTCGAGATATCAGAATTTACATACTTTCCATAACGACAGAATGGTGCTAAATTGATGTTTTTTTTTGTTTATTTACGATGCTTTTTCATAATAGAAGGAGCGAGCGAGCACAAGCAGGTTCCTACTGTGTGTCGTCGATGGCATGCCCATCCAGATAAGAAATGGCAACGGCAGCATGGAAAGCTGCTCCAATGGGAAGGGCGTCCTCATCCATCACAAAGTATGGGGAATGCAATCTCTTCACTGATTTCACTGTTTCATTCTTTGTTCCAACAAAGAACAACGCAGCTTTCATCTTCTGTGAATAAAAGCTGAAATCCTCAGCTCCCATACTCATTGGGGCAAGTTGCACATTAGATTCTCCGAGCAAAGCTTCCCCTACTTGTTTGGCATGTTTGTACATGGCTTCATCATTTACTGTGGCTGGATAAGGCCTCATTTTTTCTTCCATGAAATCTAAAGAAGCAGTGCACTGGTGAACAGCTGCTTGCATCTGTACAATCTGTTAGTGAGATGCAATGTTATCATTAATGTTCATCTCAAATTAAACAAAAAGCTAGATTTCATCAAGAATCAGATGAGATGAATTGTTCCATGACTTTCGAATTGGAATTCATCGACTCAAAGTTAAGTTTCAGATTTTGAGGATCGAGTCATCAACATTTTTAACATGCCTTTTTGATTTGTCTGGTAAATGATACATTACATCATGTTTAATTTTAAAACCTCAAGTTAGCTGGTTAGTATCAATCTTTGACATTGTCTAAAAACTTTTGAATATTGTCTACAGTACTACATGTGGGTGCATGTACAGATACTTAATGTTTTTGTTAATTAGATTATTTCTGCATTTAATCATTGAAACATGGTTACCTCTTTTACCCTTTGAAGAAGGTATAATAGACCTTCTGTAGTCATGCTCCGAATAGTGCCTCCAAATCTCACTGTCTCTGGGATTACATTCCCAGCTTGGCCAGCCTCTACAAAACCGATTGAGACCACCTATACAGCGATGGAAATGGAAAACATTTGAAATTATGTATAACTATACTTCACTGAGATTAATGAAACAAAAAGTTTCAGTAGCTCATATCACAGCATCAAGAACTATATTGTTTGTGTTCCCACAAACCAATTGCACATGAATCACATATTTCGTATTATCTCAGAAAGGGAAAAAATAAAAAAAAAGTTACTCTGGGTTCAAGAGGGTTTGTTTCTCGAGAAATTATCTGTTGCAGGGCAAGAATGGCCAAAGATGCAGCAAGAACGGGATCTCTTGTATCCTGGGGAAAAGCAGCATGCCCACCTCTCCCTTTGATTGTAGCCAAAAACCTACCTGAACCAGCAAGCATTGGACCAGGTCTTGAATCAACTGTGCCAACAGGAATTTCTGGTGCAACATGTAGTCCAAAAATTCCTTGAAACATATCAAGAGCTCCTTCTCTTAGCATATGGTAAGCACCACCATAACTTTCTTCTCCCGGTTGGAAAACAAGCTTAACAGTTCCCTGGAGAAAAGATTTTAGAGACATAAAAATTCAGTATAATAATGTGCAGATGGGAATTCTAAATGTTTGTGTGATTGTGCATATACCTTCAGTTCATCCTTCTTGCGTTCAAGCAACTTAGCTGCTCCAAGTAGCATTGTTACATGAGCATCATGGCCACATGCATGCATTTTACCATTGTTCTTGCTCTTATGCTCCCACTCTACCATTTCCTTACAAATGAGCAGGCAAATAGATTACTTAACACTGTCTCTTAAGACTTTAAAAGGCCTCAAAACCAATAATTAATGTCAGTTAATGGCCTATCAAATATCAGCTGCCTTAACATTCAAGGGACAAAGTAAAGACAACTTTTGTGGGGAAATGTCATTCCCACACTACAAATTGTTAACCTTACAACAATTTTTTTATCATGCAAAACATACAACTTTGTTTCTTTTAAATCCTTTTTCCCTAATAACATTTCCTGTTTTTTGTGGTTTCAATATATAGAGTTGTTTAGGCACATTATGTGTCTATTACGCGTGTGCGGAATTTAATAAGCAAAATAAGCCGAATTGATTAAAAATAAAAAATAATAATTCTGGTATATGAATAGAAAAAATTAAAATTAAATACCTGTCGCAATTAACCGATGCTACATAACATACTATCGAACCAATTTGCTTTTTTTCATTTTTTTAAAGAGAGCAACTGAAGAGTCAAACAATACAAACCTGAATCGGGAGAGCATCCATGTCTGCTCTAAGACCGAACCACGGCTGCATCCCTGACCCAATCGAACCCACCACGCCAGTCTTTGCAAAAGGCCACTTATACTCAACCCGAAGAGAGTCAAGTTGCGATCTTATGAGTTGACTCGTGTTGTATTCTTCAAAAGCCAGCTCTGGGTACTCATGGATTCTCCTTCTAATTTGTTTCAACCAATCAAAGAACTCTGGTTCTCTTGCTGACTCCAGCAGCTCCCGAGTCAGATAACTCAGGTCCGATTCAAAACGAGTGTCTAAAGCCCATGTTGTCTGACATGTTGATATTATCATTAACAAACAAAGCCATCCCATTAGAGAGAGGAGAAGAGGAAGAAGAGAGCTTTCTTCAGGAAATCTGAATTTTATGCCCTGGTCTATCTCTTCGTTTCTATCTTCTGCAGCATTAGAATTTTCCATGACTAGGTACGCAGCATTAGAGTTGACGGAACTGGGTGGGTCCTACATTGTGGTTTGGAACTATGCATTGTTGGACTTCATGGAAAACTTGATGGGCTACAACTTGCCGATGCACTTTTTATTGAGCCAATATTTTGTGTCCAACATTGTACTTTGACAGGACCAAGAAAACGTCCAACAAATTGATCAAAGTATATTTTATAGGGGTGGGTTCAAAGCAAGTGATGAACCCACAATCAAACCTGAACGAAGACGGGGAGAACCAATTTGATAAAAATAGGTTAATTGAATCTAATGATGATGTAACATGTTTGATTTGAATAGAATCTATTATTTTAGATTCTTCTTTTAGATTTACTAAGCTACTAGCTGATTTCCGCTTTATACAGAAGCTGAATTAAACATTTTTATTTCAATTTAATAATTTATATTATCGATTTATTAAAGTATATTCAATAAAAAATAAAAAATAAAATTTTATTTAATTTTTATATTTTTTAAATCAAATTTTGTATTTTTATGTTTTTTTAGAGATTTTGTTATTAAAAAACATGATTCGTTTTTTGTCATGCATTAATTTTTAAATAAAAGATGTAATAATATAAATATAAAATTTTTAAAAAATAAATTAATGTTTTTTTTCATAAGATGACATCAAAAAAAATAAAACAATAATCAATATAAAAAAAAAACTAACAAATCTTTTTTTTTTTTTTAACTTTTTGAAAATATGTACAATTGATTTATATATATTTCTTACAAAACAATCAATAATATTAGTATAAAAAGATGTATTTTGGATTATTAGATGGTTCTTCTAAAATATTATTTTAATTATTTTATTTATAATAAATTAATTTTAAAATATTAAACATAATTAATAGCAAATGGTTGGTGTTATGTGTGTAGATGCATAGTTAATTTATAATGAAATTAATAATCTTAATATTTTTTTATACATTATGATCATACTTAGTAACCTAGAATATGTAGTATAAATAAAAAAAATATTAAAAAAACTTAAATTGTAAGGAATATATTGAAGTTAATAGAGTGCAATAAAAACTACTAAAAAATTATTCTTAATTTTTTTTATTATATCAAGAATAAGCCAAAAAAAAAATGGTTTATCAATTAATTATTTATTTATTCAAAAATATATTTGAAAATTTATGCATAGAGAAAAATAAATCATATTTATTAATAAATAAAAAAATAAAAATTAATTTGATGAGAATTTCTATAAGAAATGAAAATTAAAGAGATTAATTTGAAAAAATAAAAATAATATATATAAATGTATATGTGTGTGTGTGACCAAAAACACCTTTTAAAAATATGAGAGATCAAAAATATATTTTTTTAAAAAATAAAGGATCAAAATGGAATAAGATAAAAATATTAAGTGTTAAAATATCTTTAAAAACATGAGTGATCCAAAATATCTTTAAAAAAATAAAAAAACTGTAACCAAAATGGAATAAAGTGCAAAATTTAAAATAAATGTCAAAAAAACTATAAAAAAAGAAAAAAGAAAATGTCACTATTAAAAAAAAAAATGCTACACATAACTAGTAAAGTAATGATTTGAAGCAAATGAATAGTGATTTACTATTCATTGCCCACAATGAATAAAAATAGATACATAACTGAACGAAATTATTTTTATGGGTGGGATTGAAGATTGTATTAAAATAAGTTTCTTTTTTGCTATGGTTTTATTTGTTTAGAAACAGTCTCTCTTTAATGGATTCGTATTTGAGATTTTATTTTTTAATTATTTATTTGATTCATATTTTATTCTTTAAATAAATTATAAAAATATGTAACTTTATTAGTTAGTTAAACTCAACATTTTATATCATACAACATGAAAATGTATTTGGTCATTTTCTTATATTATTAACAATATATTCAGTAATTGGTTGATATTCACCCAATGTTGGTTAGATCGATAAATTTGTAAAATTAATTTAAACTAAATATCCACAAATGTTAGGTAATGAATAAATAAATAAATATATTTCTAGAGATTAATTATAAAATATCAGTGAAACGCAAAATGCTCAAATGTTTGTTTTTTTAAATGATCACGTTTTTCGAGAGAACGATTTCTCTAAATCCACTTTTGTCTCGTGTATGATTAAGTCAATCTTGTCTAAGATGGATTCTTCCCTTGTTTTTTTCCTTCTGTTTGGTTGATGGGAAAAGAACAGCAAAAGTGTTAACGCCTCAGAATTAACATATTACGATAGAAAAACACACTGATAGACGGAGGATTAATATATTTTTATGAACGGTATTAGTGTGTCTTCATATGCATGTCTCTTATTTCCAAAACCACCATTCCAAAAGATCCAAATGTACGGTTTCGTCCTTTTGTCAACTTAAAAACTAAGAGATCATATATATAGTAACGAAAGATTCTCAAGTACAATTGTGATTCTAAACTCTTATGGCTACCGGCCCCAACTTTATTTATTAATTTCCATAAAATTGTTTGTGCTGATTACTCATTATAAATAAAACTTGTCCCGTCAATGATAGATGCTTTTGATTCAAACTTTTAACAAACAAGTGATTGCATTCTTCGTTGACCTAAAACCACATGCCGACTACATAAAATTATTTGTTTTATCTGTAAATATAATATCAAATGTATATCTTAACTTTACGAGTTGAATGAGAAGTTTCATTTTTTTTAATAAAGTTAATAAAAATTGGTTAGTTTATATATATAAAAAAATACTACTAAACATTTAAATGACCCTATAAATTATTGATGAAAATCGAGGCACGATAGAAAGCAAAAAGCCGGCAAGTAGGTGGTTGATACAACATAGTTATAAGGAAAAACAAAGCCAAGTGATATATCTAGAATACTCTTTGTATTTTTCAAGTCTCAATCATCATAGACGGAGTGACATGTTAAAAAACTATGGTCGACACTCAACCTATTCCTCCGCTCTGATAAAAACCGAATGCACAAAACTCACCCGAACATGCAACTAGGAGCACCACCGTGGAACAACTCCTCCACAAGGGTTGGAACGCATCCGGCCGTTGGCTCATAGGTATACACCTATCCTCCACCCACCAAAATAATAAATAATATATTTATTAGATGAAAACACATTTCTAAGGTCATTTTTATTCAATCGATAACAACTATGATGTTATTATGTTTGTTCAATAATGACCTATCAATATTAGAGATATGTATCCTCTAATTATATTTAGAGAATTTTTTATAGTAAATAAATAGATAATTTTACTTTTCTCTTCATGGAACTTCTCGAGTCTCATGGTTATAAAAATAGTCATGAGACCAAGGGTTAAGGATTCAGAATCTTTTCTCTTAGTATAACTATTTATCTTCCTCAAAACCTTTTTAGGCTAACATTTCTCTCCTCACACTATTCATATGCCTAACCAAGGAGACTTATTTTACAAGTATTTCATCCATCATGATCACCACATTTGTACCGAGTTGTGAAAACATCACATAATCTAATGAAGTATTTATAAGTTTATCATCAACACCGTCTACGGAAAAACTAAGATAAAAGCTAGCATTCAATTCATTTATCTCCATCTATAAACTCTATTTATGGCTGAAAACCAAGAAACACTAGGCCTACTACCGGGTTATGGGGTTGTTATAGACCTCACAAACTCTAGGTTCGAATTAATGGACATTCTCTAGCTACGACAACAAGTTCTAAAGTTGACAAATGCCCTCTTAGTTGAACATAAATAGCTTCAAGCCCCTCTTACTCTATAACTAGCACCAAGAGGTCAACTAATGCCCTAATTGGTTATACCATGCGAGGAAGATCCTCTACCACCATCTCCTTAAAATGTACCTTTCAAGAAGGAGTAGAGATGTGCAATAAAGTGGAGGGTGAGAGAAAAGATTGCCACTACTCTTCTAACTTATATAAGATTTTCTATTACCATTGTAAAAGATAGAAAGCCATCCAAGGCTCGAATAAGGGAGAGAAAAAATTGAGAAGGGTTAAAGTATCTTCAGAATCAAAGAGATCACCAAGAAAAATATTACCATAACGGCTCATACTTTTAGACGACCTTTGTCAATCCCAAGCCTAAATGCCCTAAGATGAGAATAGGATTAGTAGTAATTTGGTAGCCCAAATTAGATCACCGTGATCATAGGGTCCATATCTCTCCACTTGCCCCCTACATGTTCTACACCAAACTCTCAAAAGAGTCTATCGCTATAAAGATGAACTTAGACATTTATGATGGTTTAACCGACCTTTAAAAACATATATATAGTGTTAGAGGTGCCCTCGAACTAGTAATCTAGAGCACAAATGCCATATGCAAGATCTTTTTCATTACCTTTAAAATGGTAACCTAAAAGTGATATAATAATTTAGACCTTAAGTTCATACTTAGCTTTGAGAACCTGTGTTTTAAGCTTATATTTTGGTTCTCTACCAACAACCCAACTAAGAAAATCTCCATTAACTTGTTCACTTCACCCAAAAAGAAAACAAAAGCACATGAATGTAGATGACATATTGGAGCTTGTAGCCGCGAAAGCCTTTATAAATAGGCTTTGTGATGTTAGTTAATGGAAGGAGCTCTATACCCTTTTAGATAGAAATCTCCTCTAGGTTAAATGGGCTATAAAAAGCCACATATGGGTGGAGAAGGCTACCGTTGCTAAACACGCTCGCCATCATTTCTAAAAGATAAAGAAAGAGAGGATTAAGAAAGACAAGACTCTCTAAATCCACAAGAGCTTGAAAAAAACCCTAAAACATCCATCCGAAGTCATCCGGTCTTTTCTCAACTCTAAATTACTCATTTGAATGCTACCCGTATAGAGATATATGTGGCAATACAAGGGAAAAATTATTTCTCATATCTTCTTCCAATGAAAAGTACTCCTTAATACCGTAATCCAAAGAAATGTTATCTTTTTCATAATGATAATGGACATGATACGAAAGATTGCTTCATGCTAAAAA